CAAGGCGATTTCTCACATGCCCTAAAAAAATTGCCTTGCCCTTCTCGTCGCTTAATTCGAGCCCTGCCGTGGGGAGTGCGAAAAAGAGAGCTCGGGAGAACGCCAGATAAGGTACAAAAATACGGCAGGTGACGGTACGACAGCGAGGATGTACAAACGCGTGTCAATCTATAATCGGAAAGGCCCCCCTCCAAAGCCGATGTAGCCGAGCCGATGTACGTGTCCCGAAAACTGCGCGATGTTAGGCTGCCCGCTATACGCATTCGCGCGCCCGCCTTCCTTCGGCGCGCGAATTCGTATAGCGGGGAGCGCGAGATGCTACATACAACAACCCGCGGTCGCGTGCGCCCAGTCCCGCGGAAGTGCGCGGCTTAACCGCAACTGATATTGTTCAATGTTACTCGATCATTACCTTTATGCATTCTTGATTGGTATCTTGTAAACGAAAGGGAGATGTAAGATTATGCAAAACCCGTTTAGTTCTTGTCATGTACAAGACAGGTCATTAGTAGATTGTGGCGCATCTCTCGATAAATGGCGACAGTGCTTTACCGTGTAGGTAACCGAGTTAATAAAGTTGACATCAATACAGGTGCAAAAGCAGTCGTTAGCATCATCGTTATAATGCACAAGAAAATGACATATATAACAATAGGCAGCATGTATTATTATACAACTTTGATAACAGTAACTGTTGAAGGAAACATCGGTATAAAGGTCATATAATACTGATGCTACTATTATACGTACTGATAAATTATTACATTAAAAAAAAATTATTCATACACGCATCCGATTACTTAGCTGAAATTCCCAATGTAGCCATTTGGCACAATAAATTCAAACGAAATGGTACGTACATGCCATTTTAGTATTACCATTAATAATAAATATAACCTTTTGTCGAGATACATCTAGATATAACTATTTATCTAATATATATAATATATATATATATATATATTTATATTAGGAATAGAACACTGGAAAACCGATTACGCTATGAAACTGATCACCTATTTAAAAGCAGGAAATTTGTCACAATCCGTGCCCATGCATTGTAATGAATGCACCCTCACGAGTCGTGATTAGAATACCATGCACAATTCTAACACAAATCTCTACTCCACTTGGGAATTATCACTGTAATGAATACTGTAATGAGCTTTGAACCTGTATACAATTGTCACTAAGGGCAAATAAAATTATGGATGACTGATCTAAACGTCCTACAATTAACTCTGAAATTCACATTGTCAATGACCCAAGATTTCAGGCCGACTCTTGTTCCGGGCATAACATGAACTCGTGATTTTTTTTCTCATTGTGGACATTGGTCCTCAGACCCACGTAGTAGCACTATGTAGTAAGTTTGCAATTTGCCATCACTAGTGCGCGTGTATGCATGGCTTTATGTAAACAGGCTTGATAAATAATGAATTGTTTATTCTACATCACGACAGCTTACAATGCCTGTAAAAATCTCCAAGCTATCTTAGATATTTAGAGATTTTTACAAAATAGGTTTTTGCTTACTTACTTCAACATTTACTTCAGAGTAACTGGTAACTTATTTATGATTTCCTGCATAATTTGAAGTCTCCAGCCTATAGGAGAATCATTATTACCTACGCCAAGGGGTTGGCAGGAGGTTATGTTTTCACCGGTGTGTGTTTGTTGTGCGTGTGTTTGTTGGTTTGTGGGTTTGTTTGTGTACAGCCTAACTGAAAAAGTTATGGACGGATTGTCATAAAATTTTCAGGATAGGTCAGAAATGGGCTAACTTAGAACTGATTAGATTTTGGTGGTGATCGGGATCCAATTAATTATTTAATTAATTAATAAATTAGGTAAAGAAAAAGTCAGAAATGGGGTAACTTAGAATTGATTACATTTTGGTGGTGATCTGGATCCAATTGATTTAAAAAAAATTCACGATAGCTCAGATATGGGATAACTTAGAATTCATTACATTTTGGTGATGATCCGGATCCAATTAAGTATTGCATAAGTGGGGAAAACACGAGACTGGTATGAAATTATTTTAGAAATTCTTAACATTGAACACCTACAAATGCAATCACAGTAATTGAAAGTTGGCATTTCATATATCACAATAACCATGCAACATCTTTGATTTAACCACACAATTCAAACAAACGATTAGGAATAGTTTCGATCTGAGAGCAGATGCTGCAGATTATAAGAATTAAGTCACTTACGTTCCTACGAGAGGATCAAGGTTTCATGATCACTAGATACCTGGTACCTTTGAAGAACACTACCAGACCTATGGCAGAATAACTCTCACTTTCTCTATTTTCCATTCTCATTCAAGAGAAATTAAAACACTCCAGCCTCGGCCTCTTGTAGGAAACCAATTACAATTCCTAACTGAGATTCCCACATTTTGGGTTTTATTTTAAATTTTTTAGTTGCAATGCCACAATGCTGCATAACCTGTAAAAACTACAATTTAACACTATTAACGTGCCACAATACGCCACAATTAAAGATCGTCGTCACTACTGTGTTGTCACTACGTGGAAAAAAGCGACACCTGCTTCACTGTCTCCGACTGCCTTGATTGAATCTGTGCGTTGGTGATCTCCGTCTGCTGATGCTGGTGTTTTCTGCGTGCAATCAGTCTCGCCTGGTCACATTCGCGTGCTTGGTTATACAGCAGGACACCAGCAAGCACAATCGTAGTCCCCAGGCCACTGAGGAACGACACCGGGTTTCCGAACACGATCACCGACAGCCAGATAAGTAGCGCCCTCTTCACAGTGTTAGCGACACTAAACGAAAAGCAAACCAATGTAACGGTTGTAATGCAGTGATGGCATGTCACATATGGGCAAATACGCGTACAACCGAGTATCTCAGCCGTATGCATGTAAGTGTGTAGGCGTGAACTAGTTGATAGGTGGGTCTGAACAGGCGAGGCTGGACTAACAAACGAGAGAGCTAGAAGAGAAGGGAAGGGGAGGGAAGGGGAGACACAGCAAGAGCTTGGGTGTGGCAACACACCTGTTATGCTCCCTTATACCAAATAAATCTACCTTCTTATATATATATATACTCCTCATGTGTTAGTGTCTTCCTATACAATTAATGATTAATGGCATGTTGCAGTCATTGCGTAGTTTCCAACTTAACATTTTGTTAGTAAGATGCCATATTACATACAATGCTGCAGGCCACGTGTTGACATTGTCCACCAACTGAAGAAGAATTGAAGATTTCAGCAACCGTTTAATTTCCATGGGGATGCTACTGTTGCACATAGAAACCAAGCTAGAGCATGGTGTACTTTTGTACAGAAGAATTCTAATTTACATTCTCTTTGCAACCTGCACTTTGTGAAGCCATCCAGGTTTTTGTTAACTCATATCTGAGAGGCTAATCGTACTTTAAAATAACCTGATTGACCAGTACCTGAATCATTAACCTGAATCACCAGCTTTCGGCAATATTTTGTAAATACGGTACACAATCTATTATCCGAAACCCTTGGGACCAGACACGTGTCAGAATTCGGAATTTTTCGGATTTCGGAATTGTAGTACAGTACAGATATACATGCCGTATATCCTGCAACTAGCCAGTACTAAAACCCAAGTTTTCAACAGGCCAAGTGCTGTATTGGTACAGTACAATATATGTATGAGTAATGGCAAACACATTCATATTTCTGCAGGGAACCTTGTGCAGCCAAACGCCAGTTTTAGTGTCCAGACGACCTCCACGAAAAAACTTTCGGTTTTTGGAGCTTTTCGGTTTTCTTCGGATAATAGATTGTGTACTGTAGAATAAATATATCTGTTCTACCCACCAAAACTCTATTGGTACTGAGAGACTATAAATTTTTCATGAAACTTTCTGAAATTACTGACACTTGATGAAAATGGCTATACAATTCCATAACGTTGTGGCTGTGCACCAAATGGGAGGGAGACAATACTCTAGGCATGGGATCGCACCTGCCATATGCCACAATAGAACACACGTGGTTGCCCTTACCTATGTGTCACAGGAGATATGTAGCCAATCAGAACATATTCTGTAATTGTCTGGAAGTGGAAGAACAACCCATTAGCAAGCAGTCCCATTGCCAGTGTGTGGGTCATGTTCTGTTCCAACTGGAGAAAACAACATGCTACAATGATATTTATGTGACAGTAATACAGAGAAATGTACATTTAACTTAACCTTACAATGATTATGTTTGGTCTATGTTCTATCATTATCAGTTATGTTCGGTCATTTGTATATGTTATTGCACATTACATACTAATTACATATTTCTGCATATAGAAATCACTTTAAAGACCCAGTGTATCACACCGCGTATTGTTCCATGTGTTCCCGCCCTGTATGTGTGAAGGGTCACGTGGTGTGATCGTGGTAGTTGGAAGATGGCGGAACAAGAAGTGTACGAATAAACTATGTGTGTTATCTTTCACTCTGAGTTATGTTTATACTGGCGTGTTACACCCAGTATACTACTTTTTCAGTTACTAGCATTTAAACCTGTCATTTTCTACAAATAGGATAACATTGCAGATTTAACAAATCACACTTGAGAAATTTACACACCCCAGGAATTTCCTGCAATGTTACTCTATAATGTGACACTAGTTGCATAATATACGAAATAATCATATGACATAATATTATGCTCTACACACAATAGCAGAACAATTTCTTACTTGTGTAATGTCAATCATCAAAAATATCGTTGGTAGTTCTACTAGCATCGATGCACTGCTCGAAAAAAACTGAAGCTCAGCAGGCCTGCAGCAGGGAAGAAGCAAGTCAGTAAGAGGCATATCGTTCCTTCTAAAGCTTCTGAGACAATCTACACATACTAAGCATGGACCGTGAAACACGAAATAACCCCTTTTAAGTACAGTACCTCGTGGCAAACTTACAGATCTGCAAAGACACCATATATCAGGCCACAATTAAAAAAAAATTTATTTGCCCTCACCCGACCCAGGCTGGAAAGTTTGGGTACGTAGGTAGGCTTTTTTTAGGGGGGTCTTTTTACAAATTCAGCATGGTGTCTACATGTTCGGGTGTGCTTGTGTGGAGATACCTTTTATGTTGAATGTTTGTCTTGCTTGGTACATATAATGTATTGACTACAGATTTATATAATGTACAGTGACACAATTCGTAAAAAAAAAAATGGAAAAGATCAATAAAAAAATTTGAGCTGGCCCCTTTTTGGCGGGTCGGTCGGGTGAGGGCAAACAAACACCAGTCCTTGTGTTTTGAAAAAGGCAGGCGAGTAAAAAATCACACACCTTGGCTTGCCGGTAAAAAATTTGAAATCTAGACTTCATGAAATGCCATTTCCAGCATTTTGGGATAAAAATTTGCTCTGCATTTGTACTCTTAATTTGGACATTTTTTAGGAGATTTTTATTTCATCTAACAAAATATCAGTTCTTGAACATATTGATGGATAACTTGAATCACACATTTAGCATGTTTAGTCAAAAAGGAACAACACTCAATTTTT